ACTTGTTTCCCGGACAACCTATTCCAATGCGACATGAACTTTTTCTTGTTTCGTATTGTAAATTCCAGTGTTTCCGTACTAATCCATGCGATTATGTCGCTGTTATCGTCATCCAAAAGAAGATCAACGATCAGTTCCAGTATAACGAGATAGCGCTGAGCTAAAAATAAAACAAATATATCCTTTTTCTGATCATTTTCTATTTTAAAAAACTAATATGAGAAGCTGCACTACTTACATTTCAGATATGCAGCCGACTGCAGCTTGCTTGAGAACTTTGATGTCTTTTTGGGAGTATCGTCCTGTACAGTTGATTTTTCGTCATTTGGTACCGGTGAGATTTCAATTTTGCCTTAAAAAAAAGCTCAATTAAATGAAATTTCACTTAGCTTATCAAATTCGTAATAGTCTTTGTAATATACCCAATTGAAAAGATTCAGGTGTAAGAGATCGTGGAGGCGTTAACACACATCCCTGCTGGAAATTGAGAGACCTATTCCAACTCAAATCTGGCTGCCGAGTATCAGCCATTGATGGTGAGTTCTCTAAATGTAACAAAAATCAGTTACTCAAGTTAGCAGTGCTACCGCGAATGCATTACCTCGGAAGAAGAATGGGTTAATAGGTTTTGAAGTTGTTTGAGCAATACTATTTGGCGCTAATGTGGAACCTTAAGCCAACAATTTAGTAGGAGGTCAAACACCGCTTTATGTTACTTACCTGTCACTGGGAAAGGTATAGGGCATTGTTGGTGCCAAAATGGGAATAATGTTGATGGATTAAAAGCAAATTGTCCGAATGAGATATTTTGTGGTGACACTAGAATAAGATATGACATCATTAAATCGTCAGACATAATAAATTATTGCTCTTTAATTTATTTTTTAAAATCTTTTTAACCTATTTTTTCCCTCCAATCATTTTATAGGTTGGATTTCTGGATACTGCAAAATCCGAATGCATGGTAAACCAATATAAATTTCGTAGCCGGAACCTCTACTACAGTAGTATCATTATCTATTTAGATACTTCCTTCATACGATTTAGTTCTACTTAGTTGGTCGAAAACTCAAAAACAGATGAGAAGACTAATAATTGGAAATGTTTGCTTTTCATCTTTTGGATTTTTTCCTGAATTAGATCTCCAAGCTAATAATTGCTATTTTAAACATAACAGGTGCATTTAAACTTACGCGGAGTTGCCCACGAGTTGTTCAAGCTCGAATAGCCAGAAGAACAATCTGAAATAACAGTCTTTAGAAAGGGCAACCAAATTCTCTAATCTCCGTTTTATCAGTTAATTAAATTGTACATTTGTCATTTCTCTGAGAAAAATATACAAAATTAACTTACCAGTAACATTTATATCTTCTTCATCAGAACTGCAGCTTATAGGGCTTACACTAGAGCTAGGAG